ACAATCAAGCCAGTTGCAACATGGAGTTTAATAGCTTTTAAAAAGACTGATGTAATAACATGGCACATGACAGCAAGTGGTCATGTAGGATATCTCGTCCAGTCCTACATTCCTGAATTCCACATGCATGAAGAGTGATAAAAAATGAACTAAGATGAAGAATAGTTTCTGAAACATAACAAAGAGGGAGAGGAAAAAGGAAAGAAACTTATAGGTGTTGGCAAACAAAGTCCTGGGGGTTATGAAGAGGGAAGCATTCTTCCTTGAAAACTTCATGACTTCCTTGTGGAAGATCACAGCATTGTCTCAACATGCCCTGATGTCACAACCTTTAATACCCCTCATTTCACAGCACAATTTCATTGTGACAGCTGCTGAAAGCATTATGCCTCCAGCAAAATAACAATAGATGCTTTATACACTGTATGACATGAGATGTCAAGTAACAGATGATCCAGTGCAAGGTCTTCCTACCACTTGGCCATATCATCATAAGCACAGACAATTTGAAGAAGAGTGCATGGGCAAATATATGACTTTAAAACAACAAATTTATTTGTGTGCAACACTTTGTGTTTTAGGTCCTAGGGGTTTTTCAAAACCTCTAATGGTCTTTAATTTCACACATTGTTAGGTCTGATTAATGGTATTCTCATAGTGATGGTGTTCTTATTTATTAGAAGTAATTGAGAAGTTAATTGAGCTCTGCATTCCTAGTTTCATGTTTTAAATAACAATTTTAATTCTTCCTTTTGTTACATGAATGTATTAAACATATTATTAAAGCCAAGAGTAAAAGAAAGACAATGGAAGAGGTGGCAAAGGCAACCAAACAGATCTGTTTTCAAACAGAGGGATGTTCCCTCAAGGATGGGAGCTCTCAGGTAGAGGTAGATGTGCTGCTCTACAGAGACCTCAATGAAATTGTTTAATCACTGCTGACCTTCAGTGCTCAGGCCCCATCAGCCACACATCAGAGCCCAGACTGGGAGTATATCAAGTTAAACTGCTCTAGAGCAAGACAGAAGGGAAATTATTGTCCTGAGTTCAATCTCTTCCTCTTCATGGGTCTTTTTCATCATAGGTCTTAAGTCACTCCATCACTTTGAAGTTTATTTGAGAGGGAAAATAACCACAAAATCATGTGACTGAAGTTGCAAGAGGGTATGACAGCAATGTAAGCATAATCCTGGACACAGGCAGCTGGATGGAGCACTTTTTACAATTAAAACAATTACTGCCCATCATGCCATGCTAATTCACAGGACAAGACATACCAGGACATTTTTCATAGCTTTTATCCTTATTTATCTTTATTTCTGCCAGAGGCTTTGCCTGCCAGGGAAGGGAGCTGGCTGTATCACAGCTGACACAGGAGGTTCCCACAAGGAAGCTTTGCTTTAGACTTGAGGAAGTCAGATAATCTGGTTTTATTTGAGTAAATTCTCACCCCATATGTCCTCTCAGATCACATTGCTACAGCAGTCTTAAAATGGGTCAAATAAAACTCCCACACAAAATGATGCACCCACACAATTGCATTAAACCATAATAAGCAGCATTTCACAAACTGAATTACCATAAAAATGTATACTGTATTTACAGGTTTTCAAACTGACACTGAATACCATTTTATAAAATCAACTACTGCTCAATAACAATTAACTGTGTACCTTAGACCCACTGAGAACCCTCTGCTGTGTTACCATAAAGGATATTAGACTTGTACTACTACCAGTTACTCCATTTGTGCCCCTGACAACTCTAAATGCTTAACCCCACAGTAAACTTATATGTCAGCCTGATATCAAAGGACGAAATTTATCTTCTTTTTCTGCTTTGAAAACCTAGGAAACTGCTTTAAAAGCGTATGGAAAAGATGTGGTATTTAGAACTCAAGATACAAACACAGAAGTTCACAGAAAAGCTGTTATTCAGTCCTGATGGCAATGCTGGGGGAGCAGGAGGATAAATTACATGATAACACACAATTTATTGCTCTGTCTGCTTTCCTGGGCTGGCCCCTGTGAGCATGGCATGAATCACAGTCCAAAGCCCTGCTGGCTCAGACACTGCCATTCCTGCCATTGCAGGACAAGGTGCCAGTGGGAGCTTAGTGCCACTGCACATGCCTCAGCACTGCCTTAAAAACAGCAAAGCAGCTTCTTGTTCACTGAGAGATCAGTGCCAACACCCAACTGAAACCTCTGCCTGGGAGGGTACCAGCTGCTGTGCTGCTTTCCCTTGAGCCAGGATAGCTCCAGGCTCTGCCCCTGAACACCCTGCTGGGTACAAACAATTATCCTGAATCTGGCAGGTAACACAGCACCCTGCTCTGGGTAGTGCAGGACTAGACAGACAGATAATATTTCAACAGGTAACAAGGTAAAACTGCAGGTTGGGAAAGTCATGGAGCGCGGGTTTGGGTGTGAGACAAAGTTGCACCTTTCTTAAAACAATTATAAAGCAGATTCAAGGAAATGAACCATTGCCTATGTCTGGCTCTTATTTCAATACTGTCATGACCAGGTGAGTGAATCCAGGGTGTCTCCCTGGTCAATTTTGTAGCACTGCTCCAACTCTTCTCAACAATTTCATATTCAACATCACCTCCTTTGAAATAGGGACCTGCAACTTACAGGAAAAAACATCTGCAGACAGTTATCTGTGCAATGCAACATCTTGAGGGATACAAAGCATTCCAGAGAAATCAAGTATGCCCTTTCCAGCTCCAGAAATCCCTGAGGAATGAGCCTTCTTATATTTGCCTTCTTATATTTATGTTTATACCACTCTGAAAATCACTATCCAAGCTAAACAAAATTTAGGTTTAAAAAAATAATAATAATAAAGCACTTTATTCCAACAGAAACTTAAGGTACAAGTAGCTGGCAGGACAAAAGCTCTAACAGCAGGCTGGCACTTTGTCCTTACCAGCAGAGTGTCTGATACCTTTCCAGTTAAGAGCCAGAGGGACAATTCTGCAGGTGACAGGGCTGGAGCTAAACTGACTATGCAAATCCTTACATGCCAGATACACATCGCAGAATAGGCTCCCTTCTCAAGCCACACTTCAGATAAAAGCACAGAAGTGATCACAGCAGCTCAGACTAGATGGCCATGCAGCTCAGTGCCTTAACACTGACAGTGTTCAAAAACAGATACCTCAAGGAAAGCACAGGAACAGAGTGTGCGTAATAACCTTCCTTAGCTTCCACCAGCCTGCAGTTTGGCTCTCCTTGAGAAAGGCAGCACCAAATCCCACAATAACTTTAGGGAAACAGAGCAATCCCTTCAAAGGACAGCCAGGCCAGCCACCTGAACTGGTGGAGTTTGTGCCATCTCACAGAACCAGGTTAACCCTGTTACAGCCACTGCTTGAAGACAACCAGCTGTGCAAACATTTTCTGATTTACCTCCCCCAACACAACTTTAAAAGGAGTTGGTTACTTTTCTGCGCAATTAGAAGATGAGAACATCAATAGTTTTCCTTGCCTAATTAGATTTTTTTTACACTACCTCATGGATTTTACCCGATAGATAAGGATGTACCTTACCAATACTGGTGCCTACCTTTTACAGATGGATATAATTAATGGAGGGCAAAGGTTACTAGTAATAATTACATGTTGAATATATGACTGCAATTCCTTTATAGCTATTTTTAAATCTTTTGCTTTAATTAATTTTCTATTCTGTTCCCAATTTAAAAATTTACTTCAGTGTCTTAGTTACAATTTTTTTCTGTATACAAACTAACAGATAAATACTTAATTGTGGATAAGTATTTCCCCCTCAGCTACATACTGAACTTACATACCAAGACAGAAATTCTGGATATTTATGTGCTACACAAACTGCCTCAACTTTGATTTTACTGCTCTAAAATATCAGCTCACTGCATACAAAAGGTCTGTCAAATCAGATTTGAGTATAAATTGGTGGTACCAATTTGGTAGCAATGGTACCAAAAAAAAGCATGATAAGGTATGGGAAAAAATTCACACTGTACTAATACATAATTTATTCACACAGAAACTCTTTGCCTCAAAATACTTCCGCACTGATAGAAGCCATAGCTGCAGACACTCAGCATTTTGGGTATCAGTAACATGAACAAAATAAAAGACTCCATGATGCCATATTTGGATTTAATAGTAAGAAAAACATTTTCACTGAAAGGGTAGTTAAGCATTGGAATAGGCTGCCCAGGGAAGCAGTGAAGTCACCATTCCAGGGAGTGCTCAAAAGACTGGAGGTGTGGCATTTGGTGACATGGTTTAGTGGTGGCCTGGACAGTGCTGGGTTGATGTTTGGTGATCTTTGAGATCTTTTCCAGCCTGAATAATTCTGTGGTTCTATATTGAAGAAACACAGAGCACCTCGGCAACAATTGCTCTGCTCTCCGAGAGAAATCAGCTTGTAAACAACGACTTTGGAAGGTGGAATGTTGTTAAAAAAACCGTTTTCATTCAAAAACGTAGGAGAAAGAGATCAGCAGAATCTGCTCTCCTACAACTCCTGTACTTCAATTTCCACCAGAGACGCGCTAAAATGAACCGTTTATGCTACGCCTGAAAGCCCCTTGAATCTTCCGGGATTTAGGCAATTGATTCATTGTTTCACATTTAAATAATAACGAGCCGAATCTCTAGGGAACACGAATGTTTGCGCTGCGGGTTTCTGCGCGCCTTCCCCTGTGCCACGACCCCGAGGTCACCTCCGCCATGGCTGAGGCACCCAGCACGCCAGCCTCGGGCACAACCATGGAGGAGACACCACGCCCCTGGCAGAGGCAGCACCGCGGCCGGGGCTCTCCGCCTCGGCCGAGCTGCTCGGATTAAAGCGTTTCAAGGCGGCATTAGCGCCAGGGAGCGGCGCTGGGTGGGATCACGGGCCGGGCGCGGAGGGAGCGGACGGCCCGGCCGCCTGAGGGGGCTTGGGGCTGTGAGGGAAGCAGACGTGGTGCTCCGGAAAGCGCCGCGCCGGGAGGCGCCGGGGCCAGCCCACCTCGGGCAGGAAGCGCTACCCCCAGCCCCGCCGCGCCTCGGCGGCCCGCTCGCGGCTCTCTTCCCATTTCTGCCCTGGAGGAGTCAGGGCGGACTGTGAGGGACAATGAGTTGGAACTGACAGAGGAGCTGCTCTACAGTGAAGCGGCGCCATCTTGCAGTACGGACGAAAAGCTGTGGCGGGCGCCATTTTGCACATGGCCGAGAGGTGAGAAGCGCCTTATTGCATTTCCCCTCCTGGGCGCCGCCATTTTAGGTTACGGCATAGCCTCCGCCTTCCCAAGCGCAATCTCATTGGGCGCCGCCATTTTGGCTTACGAACAAGACAGCGACCCGCAGGGGTCCTCACCCCCTCCCTTCCTCCCTTTAGGTGCCTTCATAAAATGCCCGTCGAGAATCCCCTCTTTTTTTGCCCCGCTCCCAAGATGGCGTCGATGCGGGAGAGCGACACCGGCCTGTGGCTGCACAACAAACTGGGCTCCACGGACGAGCTGTGGGCGCCGCCGAGCATCGCCTCGCTGCTCACGGCCTCGGTCATCGACAACATCCGACTCTGTTTCCACGGCCTTTCCTCGGCCGTCAAGCTCAAGCTGCTCCTGGGGATGCTGCACCTGCCCCGCCGGGCGGTGGATGAGGTGAGAGCCGGGTGGGAGACGCAGCGAAGCGGGGAGCGTGTGTGTGTGTGAGGGGGAGAGGTCGGAGATGGCCTGAGGGGAGAAAGGGGGGCAGTGCCAGCACCACCTCCCCCGCCCGCCCTTTTTTTTCCACACGGGGGCTGCGGGGAGGGGGGACAGACCCCGGGCTGCCCGCGGGGCGAAGCCGAGCGGCCGCAGCTCCTCAGGGCAGGGGCGTGTGGTAGGGCTGCTCCCCACAGCCTTCCCCGCCTCTCCCTCGCAGCCTTCCTTGGACGGGCAGCAATAAGTGGAGAAGGTCTCCCGGCTCGGTCCTCGGTGTGAGGAAAAGCACCGAGATTCCCCGCGATAAGGGAGTGAGTGGAGTGGGAGCTTTGCAGCTGCTCCTCCTCTTCCTGCTCTTCGGGGATTCCCTGCTTGGCACTAGGCTTTTGAAAGCAGTTTGGACACTAAACCCGTTGTGTGGCCCACAGGGACTCATTGTAGCGCTGTGTTTTGGGTGCCTTTTAGCGAAGAGGGCTTTTCTGAGGCAGTGGTTGTGCCATGGCTAGGGGAGAGGCAGGATCGTTCAGGAGCGGTCCGTGTGTGTGTTTCAGCTTCCTCCGCTCCTTCCACAGTACTGGCGGCTGTGTAGGTGTTACAAGTCGAGCATCTCGGCTTTAGGGAGGACAGCAGCAAGTGCTGAAACTATGGCAGAGGAAGATCTGGGGTCTGCACTGAGCAGTGCTTTTCCCCACCCTCCTGCAGTGAGGTCTTGACTGGGGAAAATTGCCATGATTTTTGTTTCCCTCACTTTACCTTTCTGGGAGCAGCTGGTGCTTTCCTCTGTTGTCCTACCCCAGCTAATAAACTGGCTGGCTCGAGTCTGAGCTGGCTCTGCAGGCTTTTTCACTTGGCCCTGGACCATGCCTCATCTGCACCCAGTTTATTTTTGCTAGTAGGCAGCTACAGATGTTTGGGGCAATGGCTGGAGAATGTCTGGAAATATTGGGTTTCTTCAGCCAGACTGAAGGAATTCCTCTCCTGCTTCCATCATGTGAAGTAGTATTTCCTGGTAACCATCATGGAAGTGGTGTGGAGTTAGTTTTTACCTTCCTATGTAGAGTAGCTGTGCTTTCACCAGTCTTTCTTGGCTAAGACAGCTGCTTCTTAAGCTAAATATACATATATACGAGGCAGGGTGTGGTATGTAACTGGGATTGTTGTGTGCTCAGCTTTTGTGCACTTCTAGGCTGAAAATGGGCAAGCATCACCTTTAAGAAATAATTTAGTGTAAGTCTTGCCATATACCATTTAATGTTTGTCTTGCCATATGCATCTGTATGATTCATCACTGCATTGCACTGGTGTCACTTTAAAAAAAATTCTAGTTCAGCGTGTTTATGCTGATTTTTAAAACATGATATTCATGTTTAGTGCTTGTCCAGTGAACAAGCTGTCATCCTTGTGTATGATAAATGGGGTCGTGTTCTGGACAAACAAAATAATCTAGGCCAGAAAGGCGGATGGGAGCTGGTGTGAACTTGTGAGTTTGCAAAATTCCTGTGACCTAAGTAGCCTGGCAGAAATTAGTATTGCAGTGTTTAGAAAAATCAGTGGTGTTTTTAGAATGAAAAGAGCTTCAAAGAGCTTAAGGACCTTCATTAATGGCACTCATGGCAGCTCTTTGAGGGAGCAGCATTCAAACAAACTGAACTGGGTGAACATTTTAAACCAAACCTGAGGAAGAGCTGCCCGCAGCTTTCCTGGATCTGTGCTTGTGTTAGCTGTGGAGATAAAGTGTAGAGAAAAGGTAGTCAGTGTGCCTTTTACTGTGTACTGACAGTGATCAGTTGTGTTCTAAATGTGAAGCTCTTGTTCCTGCTGTAACAAAATACTGTGGGATTTTTCAGTTTGGTAGAGTTCATGAATTCAATCATAAGCTTAATCTTTTATTGCAAACTGATGATTGAGATCTCTTGATTGAGATCTACCCTTAGCGTCTTTAATTGTTTCAGGAACATGTGATTTTTTCCTTAAACTGGGAGAAGGGCCTTAAAAAAGGTTAAAAATAGAAAAAACCCTGAGGCAGAAGCCCTTAACATTGCTGGTAGGCCTAATGTTATTATTATTACAGGCTTCCTTTTATAGATGGCAAAAATAGCTGATGTAACCAAACTGCTGACAGAAAGGACTGTTGTCATATCAGATGCTCATCATTTGTGGTTAGTTTACTAAGACAGTTTTATTTGTGCAGATTTGTCACCTAACTTAGTATCAAAAATTCCAGCGTTTTAATTGGAGTGGAATACCTTGCGCACAATACCCAGAAAATAGATAAACGTGTCTGTGTCCAGAGTGGCTGTGCTGTGCCCATCTCTGCAGCAGCCTTGCCTGTGTGCTGGGGAGTGCTGCAGGCGGTGCCTTCCTGCCAGGACAGGGTAGCTGCAGCTGCCTGGGAGTGAATTCCTCACTTGGAAATCACCCCCATGTCAGAAAATGGTTGAACTGAACCATGAGAGTGCTGGATGACTCTCTTTGGAAAGTCATCTGTCTCTCCCATGCCATGTGCCAGTCTGCATCGATCCTGTGCGAGAAGCACTGAGCTGGCATCTGGAAGCTTAATTGTATTGGAAAATGTATTGCATCAGCTTTGTGCAGCTTTGGGAATCTTAATAGCAGTTACAGGATATGTTACATGTTAAAAGATATTCCCCTCTCTAGATAACAGATTCAAGGGAGTTATTTTCTCTTCAAAATAATTTTTTCTTTTTTCTGTGTAGTAGCATTTTCATGAAAGCTTAGAATAACATAGAAACCATTTGGGAGCAGACATTTGAGTAAAAAGCAATGTGGGAATCAAGGAAACTGCTAGTATTTCGTTTAGAAGGGATTTAATTGCTCTTGGTCCTTTCTAAATCTCTGTGAAAGCTTCAGTCTAGACAAGTGAATCTTCAGTGAGCCCTCTTGAAAGCTCAGTCCTTGACTTAAGTGATTTTATCCTCATATGTAATATCTTTCAATTTTCATAATGTTTTCATTCAACACTCCAGATACTGTATAGATGTAAGTGACTTAGTCCTCATAATACTCTTGTGGGACAGGTAATAAAACTAATTTTTTATCATGCTGTGAACCACATTATTGCATGTTTGTTCCTGCTGACTAATAAGAATAATTGGCTTTCATTTTCATTTTAAATTGTGTTTTGTAGGCAGTTATCAAAAATTCCTTTCCCACTGTAATTCTCTGGGAAGAACTTGCAAACTCTTGAATCTTATGGCTTTTCAGCTGCTAATTTTTTTCTAGATAATTGCACTTGTTTGAAATGATGCCTAAAGCTCAGTATAGTGCTGACCAGAATTTCAGTTGTGAATTTGGCAGAACTGTTATATTTGTTTATTTTGCATATTATATTCTTGTTAACCTGATTCACAATGGCAAGTGCAAGCTTTCTTTTTATGCCAGTGTTTAATTTATTTGTTCAGGGTTAGACTGTGATGTTAGAACCAAGTCTGGAACAAGGACTGTGCTTCTGTGCTCTCTGAATTGTCTTGAGAGGAGGATCCCTATCCCAGCAGGGATGTGCCAGTTTATTACAGTAGAAATCAAAACTTTTTCCTTGCACTGGCTTATGTGCACCAGGAGCCATCTGTGCAGGGAAGTGGGGACTGGGGAGTGTGGATGCAAAGGAGTAAGAGGGGACGTGACACTTGCATTTCCCTCTCTGTTGGGAGCACACAGGCTGCTGTGCACCTTTCTGGCCTGCACTTAGAGTTCATTATTATTCTGTGATGTAAAATGGGATATTTTAATCCAATAGTTCTCTTGGCCACTTGAGCTCTTTTTCATGATTAAAATGCAAACCACATCCAATAGTGGTATTGACCCATCCTGGGTCTGTATTGTGTAAATATTAATACTGTGTTTTCAATCCAATGCTTTTAGTTTAATGAAAATATTCTATAATGAATGCAGCTCCCTCTTAAATACCATCTTTTCTCTAGCCTCAGAAAGGTGAAAGCTTCATTTGGTTTATTAGCCAACTGTTGATACATTTGTCTAAATGTGTGGTTATACACGTTAATTTAGGCAGAATACAAAGCAAATAAATATTTGAAATATTTGCAAGTAGTCATCTTGGAGCTGTCACATTGTGTGTTACTTGTAACACTTCCTTTTAAATACCTTCCTACAGTCCTGTTTGTCCTTCCTGCACAGCCATTATTAATCTGCCTGTGTTCCCAGACACTTCCCATCCTGCCTGATCCCTGCTTGCTGGATGTTTCTAGTCGTGGCCTGTGCTTTTTCTTGTGTGCCAGCAAGCTGATAAAAATACTTAAGATCCTTAAGTTTTAGATGAGAAAGACACTGGGACATGTTACATCAGATCTTGACATTCATGCTTAACAAGATGCTGATGGGAGTCTTAATGACCCAGTGTTGCAATCATAGACAATTAAGAATTAGGGATTATGGCTCTGCCCTGTAAAGTAACAGGAAAAGTGCATGTAGCATTCCCTGATGAGTTGCATTTCATGCATTCTCAAACCATAAATGAAATGTTTCTTTTCAGCTGCCAGTTGAACAGTGAGGTGGGAACATGTATTTAAATTGCCATTTGAAGGCAAACCTGAGTCAAAGCTCAAATCCAGGCTTGTTAAATGCAAAGCCATATTCAGGCAAGGTCTCTGGTTAGCTCACAGCACTTGTTAGTGCTTCCCTGTGTGTGATAGTGTCTGTTATTTCACCATGTTCTTTCTGTCATGAGGCCTTGTGATAGGCAAGCAAATTGTTTCTGGGCTCCTTTCTTGAAGGAACCAAAAGCTTGTTAAGCTGTGGGTTTGGGCATAAATAGGCTGCCTGAACTTTAACCCTGTGAGCAGAGGGGGTGCAACATGCCCACACCAGAGTTCTACAGGAATGTTCATAGTATGGGCGTGTAGCTCTGTGAATTTTGGTACAAATAGGAGTTTTGTGAAGCAGATATGAAGAGTAAATTGTGGGATGCAAGAGACATTTTTCCTCTGACTTTGCTTTGATGGAGGAAATGACATTCTGTACACTTACCTGCATTAGTGGTGTCCACAGAAAAGCTTGTGAAAGCTATGAATTCATCAGCACTTCTGGGATGTTTTAGGTGTTTTCTGTAAATCAGTACCTTGGTTCCTTTAGGACAAATAAAAGAACAAAAGACTTTGCTCTGATAGTGTTCACAGTCATTCTCATCCACTGTAGAAGTGACTTTTGTTAAGGAGTTGAGGGTTAGAATAGAGAGGTGGACAAGTGTGTGGGGGTTCTTGTGGGGTTATGTTTACTGAGGAATAAGTGAGCAATAGAGAGCCAGCAAAGACTGGAACCTCAGAAATTGACTCTTTCCACTGGGTGAGGTTGGTTAAATTTGACAGCACATTAAACAGTGTGTGCTCCTGGTTATGTGCTTGATCCAAAGCCAATCAGTGGCACTGCTGAGATGGGAACTGGCCCATGTAGTGTGTTCTTCCTGCTCCCCTCTTTGTGGTTCTGGTGTTTGTGTGGCTGCAGTCAGTCACTCTGAGGAGCTGGTCCAGCTTTAAGCTACAGAGGTGCTCATTTTGGGTCAGATGGACTGATTGTTTCACAGGCACACAGTGTGTGAGACATAAAACATGCAGGGGGTAAAGGACAAACTGGCTCTGGAGTGGACTTGTAAACCCTTCCAAAGTGAGAGGGCAATAACATTGTGCACATGAAAGGACTTGAGAAACGTCAATGTTTGTTTGCCTCTGAGCTTTAAAAGTGGATGGGAGAGGAATGGGGAGCAGAAATTTATTTCTTTTATTTACAGTTGTATGCATAGAGTAAGTTCATTTTATTAAATCTTTTCATATAAGAGTGCTTTAAATAAGGGAAAGAAGCAACATGAAGGTGAAGATGAGTCTCTTGCTTGTCTTCCTGTGTTCAGAGACATGATGACTGTAACTAAGCTATATGTGCCACATTGGGTGGTGAAAAATCAAAATCTATATATTTCCTTATACTTGCTTGTACATTCTTCAGTGTTAATACAATGCAGATAGATTATGATAAACTGCTTTATGTGATTTTACTGTTGTGTTTTGTGGCTTGTTAGACACACAGAATATCTCAAACACCTTAGCTCACTAAAGCTGGTGCTGTCACACTTACATGAAAATTTACTTGGACAAAAAGAAAGTTCAGTCTTTGGGGTTTTATACTTACTTGTGGATGAAGTAAACCCCGACTGTAGTCACCTTGATTTCCATGTCATAGTTCCAACAGGTATGTTGGTCAGTAATTAAAAAAATTCCATTACAATGAAACTTAAAATTTACTTCATTTATTTATTTACATTTTACAAAATAGAAAAATAACTTTTTCCTGACTATGAAACTTTGGGTAGATGGAAAATCTTGTTGCTCATGGCATGTTAAGGGGGCTATGTTTACTTCCCATAATATGTAATTTTTGTCAAACATTGCAGTATTGATTAGGTTATTTTTGCCTCAGCTAAAGTAATATTTTGAAGACAGTTATGATGCAGATGCAATCTGTCTATGTAATTATGCTGTAGGCTGGCAAGGGGCACATCTTCATTTAGATGCCTGTTCTAAATAACTTGTGTTGTATTTGCATATTCCCATCACTGAATAGAAGGTGTGGGTCCACAGGGAGTAGGAATGTAAAACACAAGGAGACAGTAATGTAAAAATTTGGCTGCTGCTTTTGAAAATGCGCAGTGCTAAACAAAGCTTTGAGCTGCCAAAAGCTCAAAACAGAACTTGGGTTAGATTGAGGGAAAGCAGTTTAAAAAATCACCTTGGTTCATTCTTTGCTTGGTTCTAGAGTTAATGTGTAACTGTGTGGAAACAATCTCCCTCTTCCCTTCCCCGGTAGTAAAACATTGTGCATGTTTGTGTCTTTTTTAAATAAATCCAACTACAACCTGTTTAAAACTGTTTCCAATTGGTTGATTTTCTTTTTCTTTTTTTGTTAGATGAAAGGGGCACTGACTGAAATTATCCAGCTCGCTACCTTGGATTCAGACCCCTGGGTCTTAATGGTAGCTGATATTTTAAAATCCTTTCCAGATACTGGCTCCCTTAACCTTGATCTTGAAGAACAGAATCCCAATGTTCAAGATATTTTAGGAGAACTTAGAGAGAAAGGTAAGCCTTTTCTATTGGTGAAAATTGCAGGAATGTGGTGCACTTTTTTAGGAATAACCTGTCATTTCACAGGCAGCCTTGCTGTCTTAAAGTAGAGATAGAAGAACAAGCACTGTCTTGTCTCTGGACTACCACAGTTCATGACCTGGAATGTAACTGGACTGGGAGCTGTGGTATTTGAGAAATGGTAGCTTCTTAAATTATCTTTTCACATATCATCAGAATTTAATGTCAGCTATTGCCCAGAGTGTGAAGGGCAGCACAAAAGTTGTGTGGATTCTTTAGTACCACAGGCTGTGCTGCAGCTTAGCAGTAAAGATATTTTCTGTGTTGCTCTGACTCACATTTGTGGTCCCCAAGACAACAGCAAGTCTGTCTTGTGTGGGAGCTCCACCACTGACCTGGGCAGGGGCTGCCTCTCTGCAAGTGTCTGGACAGCGGGGGATCAGTGCTGGAGGGAGGCTGATCTGGGAAGAGTTGTGCTGCTGATGGCCAAGCAGCTGCAGATTGCCCAGCAGCTGCTTCAAACAGCAGCAAAAACTACCGATGGATGCAAAACTACTCCTACTCCAGTGCGTTGATTTTAGCACATGGTCTGGAAAAAGCCCTCGAGCATCCATGGACAGACACAATCTCGGGGCTGGAGATTGCAGCAAAACAATAATTAAATGACTTGGAGGTGGAAGCACTTTGTTTTCTTTCTATAAACAAATGATCATTTGTCTATCCACACTTGTGATTTGGATTTTTATTCAGTAGTTTGGTTTTCATGTGTAATTTTTAAGGAATCTGAGAATTCAATATTTATCTATTTTTTGACAATAGCAGCATATTTAAGATACCTATAATTTGGCTAGGTATAATTAAAATGGAAGCTTTTATTAAGCTAATGGGAAAAGCAAACATTCTAATAACTGGTTATATATTGTGTAATAATTAGAACTAAATTACTCTTGGTGTTTATACAGGTAATCTGAAATTGAAAACCACCTGTACAGTCTAGTTGTAAAATGTTTTGTCATTAGCTGTCAAAGAGGTGCTAATACCCCTGTGTACTGTGTTAACTCTTTATGCAGTAAGTGAATGTGAAACTTCAGCTATGTTGCCGTTGGAATGCCAATACTTAAACAAAAATGCCTTGACAACACTAGCTGGGCCCCTTACTCCCCCAGTGAAACATTTCCAGCTGAAAAGGAAACCTAAAAGTGCCACTCTCAGAGCTGAACTCTTGCAGAAGTGTAAGTAGTATTAAGATTGTGTACAAATTAAACGGTGAAAGGCCAATTAATATTGAGTATTTTCTGTCTTATTCTCCAGAATTGTGATACACATTAAAATGTTCTATTACAAGAGCTTTTCTGGATGAGGATGGACTGATGTGTGGAAGAGCAGGTGCAAATCATTCCAGCCAGGATTGCATTAAAATGCTTATATGGATTTAAATGCTGTTCACATTTCAGGGCATCCAAAGAGCTGTAGCTTCATAAAGCACAGATAGGTCCTCTCCTGGTATAGTAACAGTCTGACTGAGGACACCTTTGGTTAAAGCTCCTGAAGCAAAAGTAAAATGAGGACAGTTTTATTTTGCCATGTGCTTTTGGAGCAGAGAGCAAGGGCTGCTAATTAATGCTTTCTTTGACTCAGTGTGGCTGTATAGGGTGTAAAAACCAAGAGAGTTTTCTCTTTAACAAAAGGCAGCATATGTGTACATGTATGTATTGGTAGCTGCTTGAACTAAGTGATTTTAAAATAGTTTACTGCAGCTGCTGTTCTGTTGCAGTAGCTTGCTGCTTTCTTGCATGTAACTTGAGTTGGTCTGGTTAAATACAAAACCTGTAAATTTTCATAATTTGTCATATAACTTTTAAAAATTATTTAAATTTTTACTGAGTAAATTGCCTTTTCTGGTAATTTCTTTTAGCTTAGGCCACCTTGTCCATTGCAGTCATACTGATTTTGCATTTTCTCCAAATACTGTGTTTACTTCACATAAATGACCTGGATTTTAATTAAAATACAATTCTTTGTTGGTATTCCTATCGCTTTATCTATAAGTTAATAACATTTTATGTAAGAAGCATTGTGTTATGTATTTCCAGCACAAGTTCTGTAATAACTAAAGCCATTTTTCCTTGTAGCAACAGAAACTGCGCAGCAGCTCAAGAAGACTGCAGGAGTGCCTTTCCATGCCAAAGGCAGGGGACTGGTTAAGAAGATAGATACAACAAGTATGGCTCACTTTCATCAGTTCTCAGAAAGAAAACCTGCTAAAGTAGCCTTGATGAAGAATAAAATTACCACCTGTTTTTTACAAAAGCTTAAATTTTTTTTGAGGCAATGAATTTCTCCCTTTCTGCCTCCCGCTCTCCTTATACTTAAATATTTCTGACATGTCTTGTCAGAAAGAACAACAGTGTGTGGGGTTTTTCAAATGGCAAGTATATCTGCCATGCTTCTAAAGTGTATGCAGCTAGATCATGCCTATAGACTTTGATAGGAATTTAATTTGCATCACTCCAGGAATAACTCCTGACTAAGCCATGTTGCTTCAAAAGGGAGAAGAGTGGATCAGAGTAGTCTGCTCTGTGCTCTTTGAAATGCTGTGAAGTAGATTGAAACTATTTTGTGCTTGTATAATTCTGTCTGGAGAAAGAAAAGGGGACAGCATTCTCTGAAGCCAAGGCTGAGCAGTGAATTCCAGGTGGCAAACCTGTAGAATGATCCTTTCAGCTTTGTATTAATGCATTTCAGCTGTTTGCTGAAGTTCCTGAAGTGCTTGAATTTTTCAAATAAGGTGTGAGAAGAGGGTTTAAAATTATTTACATACTCTTAAGTCACTGCACAGGTATAACATTCCTGGCCACCACTGATGCTGAGATGGGAACCTTTGATTTCTTGGTGTTGTGGCTGGAAGTACTGTGAAGTACTAAGTACTTTGTGTTGATGCTATTTAAGATGTTGCTTTGAGGGCTGATGTTTGGCCTTGTGTTCATGCAGGAAATGCAAAAGGTCTAGTTTGTAATTCGAACTAAAATTTTTCCATTATAGAAAAGGACTCTTAGTGCTTGGCTGTTGAATTATTAAAGCCAGTTCTTAGAACCTGGCCTTTAGAGCCAGTTGGCCTCCAGAAACAGGAGTTGGGGACCTGCTGAGGTTTGCTCTGCTGGAAGGTACTCACATGGGTCAGAGTATTGTCCTGTGGTTGAAACATTTTCAGTAGAACATTTAGAGGGATACAGAGTCTCTAAGCTCAAACTGAAGTTCTCTGTTTATCATCAGGGCATGATGAAATTGTCAGGAAGCTCAAAGACCTGATAGATCTGTATATGTATCCCTTATCTTTTAAAAGTTAAAAGATTGCTGTGTTTAGTGCTAGCATTAAGTGTGAGGTAGAGGGGCAGCATCACAGAGTTGTGAGGAAACAGATGCTTACAGGTGTAGCTGATGCTACTGAGTGTTGAGATAGCCGGTGTTCTGTTTGCACTGTAGACCCAGATTGGTCCTCCTCCTTGTGCAAACAGCAGCTCTAGATTTTCATTTTTTTTCTAGATTTACCCGTGTGAGGCAGTACATTACCTTTGCAATATATCACAAGCCCATAGCCTTGCATGAGCTTGGCTAAGATTTTTGGTTAAATACAGTTTTATCAAGTAATTTGATTGTGAAAATCAAAGAGCAGCTTTGGCAATAATTGCATTCAAAAGATTTATGTCCTATACTGTTTTACATGTTCAGAGTTTATTTTTTACAAGTAAGGAAAGCATCTGTGTGTATAGGAAAAGTAGACTTTGTTAGCAGTGCACCTGTTTGATTACTTCATGTAGAATGGGGTTGTAAGCATTGGTCAGACATTGGCCCTTATTCCCTTTTTGAAAAGTAAAACCTAATCTGACCTTTGAGGGACATGTAGTGTTATAGCTAATTCCACATTATAATATTAATGTTTATTAGAAACATTTTAATTTAAAGGGCAGGTAATGTGTGTATTAAAAAGGGGAAGAACTGAAGAACTCATTAAAGCATTTATCATAACCAGTTAAACACATATTTCAGTTGTTGCTTTCTTTGCTCTTCCCTAAGCACCACTCAAAGGAATACCAAAACAAGCTCCATTCAGGAGTACTTCAGCTCCCAGTGTTTTTAGTCCTTCTGGAAACAGAACTCCTATTCCTCCTTCAAGGACACCTTTGCGCAAAGAAAGAGGAGTGAAGGTAGGTGCACTCCTTGTTTGTCTGCTCAGGTCTCTTCTCTCACATAAAGTGAATTTCTGCTGCTGCTTTGAATCACTATATTAAAGGAAAAAAAACCTGAGGATGATATTTATAGATAAATTATATGCATTTAACAATGATTATTAAGTTCTCTGTGGTCTTTCTTTTTAGCTTCTAGATATCTCTGAGCTGGATATGGTAGGTGCTGGTCGTGAAGCAAAGAGAAGAAGAAAGACATTAGGTTAGTACAGCACTCTACTTACAAAGGCTGTCAGTGCACCTGCAAATAGGATCAAGATTTGTAGTACCATTTTGTTCTTAATTTGCTAAAGCTTAGCCTGAGCTAAACTTAAAAAATTAGAGGATGTGATACCAACTAATACTTGTGAATGAGGTAAACCCCTGACTAAAATAGGTTTTAAGGGTGGATTTTCATTTGTTTCAGTGCTCCTACTCACATTGCCTTGGCCTAGGTAATACAACTCAATCATGTGAAAGGATTGAGCAAATCAGTTGTGCTTTGGGCAGGCTGTAGGTGTGTGAGTGGCTTCAGTACTGGCACTTTTCTGAGTTATTTTCATCTGCTCAGTTCTACTGGCTGTATGGCCATGTAAATTAGGTGAAAGTAATGTTGAAAAAATTTATAGCACTTTCCAAAATTTTGACTGAGGTCTTAACGAGTGAACAATATCTGATACAGTGCTTTTAAGGCAAGTGACAGGGTTGTGCCCTACTTAACCATATCAAGAATATATACTATGCAGCATATTTTTCCTAAAACACTTTTTTTGTGTTTGTTACAAAAAAACAATACCACCTCAGAAGAAAACCATAATTGCAATTAAAATGTTGCTTGGGCTTTCATGCCTTCTAGTATCAGATTACTCGGTTCCTGTATCCTGTACAGTGTTGTTCAGTTCATTACTGGGTTCATTATAAAATAAAACAATGTTTGGAGATTACTGTATCTATTTCAGCATATACCTTTTCAAGCACGTTTTAGCATACTTTGAGAAATGCATTTTTAGATCTTTGTTTAAAAAGTGTATTCAATATTTCTGAAAGAATGTTTGGACTCACTTGTATTTTTATGCAATAGATACAGAAGTTGTGGAAAAGCAAGCCAAAGAAGAAACAGTAGTAGAAAATGCTACCCCAGATTATGCTGCTGGCCTTGTATCTACACAGGTAAAACCAAGCAAAATCAATCAAACAAAAACCAACCAGTCAAAAAAAAAAAAAAAAGAAAAGTAATACTCTTGACATATGCTGTTATAAACCCCTTAAACACTGTAATGGCATTATGCTCACTTGTTGAAACATGTCTCTTTATGTAAAAATTTCTGTGTAATTTTTTTCAAAATTCCATTACATTTTCCCCAAAGAAAAAGCAAACCTGTTGCCAGAAGTTGTTCAGTCAGGGAGAGGAGGAACCTGTCATGTGTAGACCTTTTTCCTCCTATTTCAGGTCCAGCCTTTGTGTCCTCAGGATATAGGTTCTGCAAGAATGTTATGTCCTGCCCTTGCTTTTGAGTGAGAAACTGTCTGCTGGGCATGTGTGACAAGCCAAGGCCAACATACAGGCAGATAGTGGTAGGCCAGAGTCAGGAGTGAAGTTCATTGCCTCTCTTTCTGCAGAGTGCTAAGAGAATCTTTGTTTTAGCAAGTTCCACATTTTACAGAATGTCCATATTTCATATAGTGGGCCTACCTTAAATGATTCGTCTGTTAGACTTACTCCCCCCAAAACATCTTTCCTCTCTCACCCCCTTATGTTCAAAGGCTGGATCAGGCAGTGAAATCATCAACCATACTGCTGTTTTTATGCTGTGTATGCAGTGTCATGTATAATTAAGTACAAAACAAGGCTTTTTCTGTAGGCTCACCATCGTAGATGGCATCAGTCATGTTGATGTTGGCTGCCTGTTTCAGTGGCAATGGCGTTTTTGCCTGTGCTGTTACTGCTGCCTTCTGCTTGTGTCCCAGAGGCCTTTGTGTTCTCCTGAGTGAGAGCCTAGCAGATGCTCATGGATGAACATGGTTCTGCTTGCTGGTGGTGAAGAGCATGTTTCCTCTGGCAGATCACTTAGTCCTAGAGTGCAATTCTTCATAGAGTGCCATCTGCACAAATTTCTGGTGTTTGAAGTAGAAAGTCAGTGTTGAACAGGTTGTTAGGTAGGATTCCTAAAAGAGGAGGCTGCAGTTAAGTTCCCAAAAGGAACATCTTAGTAAAACAAATGTTGAAGTTGCATTTAAAATGCAGAAACAGCCCATGAATACTTTCAGTGTGGCTTTAATGTTTTCTTTTCTGTTCTGTAGAAACTTGGTTCGTTGAACAATGAGCCTGCACTACCTTCTACGAGTTATTTACCTGCTACCCCCAGTGTGGTGCCGTCTTCCTCCTATATCCCAAGCTCTGAAACACAGCCAGGTAACTGACACTTCTTTGCTCTTGGGACCTGATGAATGCAACTCTGTACTGTTTTACTGTCTGCCTGCTCTTTTATTTACAAACCTACTGTCCCTCAACTTGAATGAAACTCCACCTTAGCAATATAATATCCATTGCAAGACTCCAGCCTTTGAGTCTGGGGAAACCAGACATATAATTTAACCTAAGTAAAGAAAATAATTGTTGGCTCTAAAGTTTTAGAGTGACTGCTAGCTAAGCCAAGTAAGTGAAACAATTTCCTGATTTTTTTCTTACAGTAATAGGAAATTCAGCTTTTGCTATCCCCAAAGAATAATCAGTATAAGTCTGAAGTATGTATTCATGCACACACATGCTAGCACATACAAAACAGTTGCTTTCGGAAGTCAGTTTTATTTCTAGAGCCAAATGTGTATTACCTTTCACACAGTTTGGGATTAAGCCATCCATTTTTCCTCTACCTTTGTATAACAAAGATGATAGCTGACCTACTGCATATTTTGAAAAGTGCTGTTATTTTCAATTCTAGAAAATTACCAATAGCAAAAAATAGTTTGTACAAGTCCTTTTTTCCTACAGTTTTATTTTAACCAGCTTGATTTTATTTTTCCTTCCCTGCTGTGTGTGAAGTCTTTAAAAGAATGTATCAGTTTATGCTAAAAGATGTGCATGGCTGGGATTCATTACCAGCTCTGTCCATTAACAGAGAATCAACATTTCAGTTTAATATATTATTTTTAAATGAGTTGTGGCATTTTGGGCACTTGAGAAAACGACATAGATGCAAGACCCAGTCATTTCATTTGGCCTCAAAACAGTTCAGAATCTCTCTGAAGGTCTATGCATATCTTTCTCTGGCAGAAAACTGGCATCTCCAGAAGGAATGCAGCCAAGAACACAGCAGTGTGTCAGCAGCTGTAGTACTATTTTCCAGAGTGTTGGCATTGTGTTCAGCAGCAGGAAAAGTCTAGTTTAAAATTCTCTATTCTGTATCCTTTCTTTTAGGAGTATGGAGTATTTAGCTTTTCTTAGGGACCAGGAACATAAAACTGTTTGGTTGATTGAAGATGCACACAGAAGATCCTCAGATTTGGTCTCATATAATCTGAGGTTGCATAATTAAAACATTATGAAAATAAATAAAGACTTTGAGAATATCAGTTATTTTGACAAGAGACAAAGCCAGTAATGAAACTTATAAACGAATAAGGAATATCTCATACTGCAAATGTTTATCCTCTCAATTGTTCCACATCTACTGAAGAATACCAGTATTGCTAAAACCATAGCTGTGTCTGTGCCAAAGTGGAGAAGCAGAGATGTCTCCTTTCCTAAAATCTGCTCTAAAGGGCACCAATGTAGCTCTGATCTGTATCTGCCTGTAGTCTTCTGTGAACACAGGGTAAACAGGTCACCTTAAAGCTCATGAGGTTTGTGAAGGCTCCAGCCTGTGTCCAAGAGCTGCAAAAGAACGTGGATAGAGTGTCCACTGGGTAATCACCACTGGCTGGACAGATGGTAACTTGTGTGGTCAAGCTGCTGTGATTTCATGAGCTGCCTCCAACTGCAGCCAGGTCTGCAATAGTATAACTACCTTACTGCAGGTGAATGGATCAGCTTTGAGAAAGAACAGTTAAGCCTTGTGGGGTTTTAACTTCTAGGAGTTAGTGTTTAAATAACGAATAATTTGTGAAAACTGCATTTGAATCTGACATCTGTTAAAGTATATTTGTATTTTCACTATCTTAATGGTACTTCCTTTGAAAGCTGCTGCTACATTAGGTAAAAACTGATGAAATAATTTTTTACTTGCTCTATGTAATAGAGTTCAGCAACAATCCTGGTAGGATCAGAGTACAGTTGTTAGAGCTATACAAACTGAAAAGTAAGTATTGCAGTTTCAGTTTAATAAATTGGATATTGATTAAACATCAAATTTGGTGCTAAATATAGCATATCCATATGGAACAGCTAGTTACTCTGTTGTCTAATGATTTCTAAAGATAATTGAGTGGAAAGAGCATTAGCTCTTAACTTTTTCATATGGATATTAGTTGGCATATTGAATGGTGGTGCTAAAATGGAATCATTAGAGATTTTAGCTTTCTTTAAAGGCCACTGGTGGTGCTAATCCCTATTTGTGAGTTATAATGTTTTAACTATCCTAACTGGTTTTTGCAGCTGGCTCTGCACGAGAGGCCTTGCAGACCAACAGACAGACTGAAGAGCCTGCAGCTCCAAATGCTACTACAACTCTTCCTGCGCAGTTCAAACAAAGAACCCCCATGTACAACAGCAACTCTAATCCCCCTGCAGCTACACCTACCTCACCCCTAACACCCACCACACCTCCTGCCATCTCCCCGGCGGCACAGGCACCACAAGTGGCCCCCCAAACTCAGCAACAGCCACCACCGAAGAAAAGCCTCTCTCTCACAGTAAGTAAAAACAGATTCTTTTTGACTGATGGTTTTGATGTGGATTGGATCTTGTTTAGATGTTGGCATTTCTTGGCTTTTAGATTATGGAGTGGTTGAGGCTGCTTTTTTTATAACCAAAGATTACAAAAATACTTTGTGGTTTAGCATGCTGTCTTAATGTTATTCACAAAATTTTTAGCTGTGCAATGTTAATGTTGCAGTATGCTGTTTGTTATGCAAAATAATGTATTGCTCATTATAAAGAATTTTGGGAGAAGGGTGTATTTCCAGCAGAAATTGCCCAGCCAATTGCACATAATATAAATTGCTTAAAATTGTCCTGACATAGCTGTACTAGGAGAAAATACATAAATAGATTATTTTAAGGTAAAAGATTTTGTTTCTGATCCACCTCATCCCCCCATTACACATTTTTCAAAGCCTGAGAGTGGGGATATATCTTGAAGCTTCCTATTCCTGGTGCATATATACCTGGTTTGGTAATTTTTATGTGCATGCTTGGAGTCCAGTTCAAGCTTAACTGATCAGAAGACTTTGCTAACCATATCTGTAAGCCTGGCTTGCAAGATCTTACCTTTAGCAAGCTGGATGACTTCTTTTCAGTAACTCTACTGCATTTATTAAAGGAAAATAAATCCTCTGAAATTATCGTAAGCCTGGGTTTGTTGGATTGTAGAGAAAGCATTGGATTATTTTCTTTTTTCCCTAATGCCATAAAGGACACAAAATGGATAACATAAATATTAAGCCTCTCACATGTTTCTGTAACTCTTTGAAGTGAGGTGCTTTTTTCAATGTCCAGAGTTCAATGGAACTGCTGTGCATGTTAGGTATAAGTATTGCAGAGGCGAAACCTTGAGGTTAGGATATGTTTTTTGTTAACTTTTTGTAGGTCCTACAAACCTTTGCGTTGTTCTTTTATGGTCATCTGTGGGTATTAAAGTGGTCCCTGTTGGCAGAGTTTTTCTCAACTGAATTGACATTTATTGTGTTTGTTACAGAGAGAGCAAATGTATGCTGCACAGGAAATGTTCAAGACTGCAAACAAAGTTACAAGGCCAGAAAAGGCTCTTATACTTGGATTCATGGCAGGATCCAGAGGCATGTATTGATATGAATTTGGCTTGGTCCTGAATACACAAATCTGAAATACAGCCCAGCATTTCTAAATGTACATATGAATGTGCTTTGCTTTAGCTTTGTCTGTATGTGCTGGACTCTTTGCTTTACACTGGACTCTACATACTTTGATGAATTATAGTTCTAACTACCTGGAAATGGGTCTTTAGGGTCCATTTCCACTAAGTCAACTGGTCTGTCAGAAAAGCTGCTGACCATGATATAACTGAACTCGCTGTAGAATCAGGGCTTAGGGTTGAAGAGAAACAAGGCAGCTGGTAAGCTGTGAACAAAGTGGTTGGTTGCAACTGCTCTGCCTAGAGGACCAATGAATGTAAATTCTTCTATAGCCAGCTGATGTACCAGCTGGGTAGTACAGAACCTCTTTGCTTATTCCTTGCTTTAGAAACTGGCAATTGTTATCTCAGGGACTTTAGATAACAACTGGTGCTGTGAATCACAGGGAGATAAGCTGTCTCATAGCTGGATCCTGTTATGTATTGGCCTTGATAGACCAAAGCTGTTTTACCTAGAAGATTACTGGATGTAAGATGAGAAGGGGCTTAAGAGTCCTTAAGTGAACTCCATCATCTGCACTAGCTCTGGTTTCTAATTTGGTATTTGTGGGCTCTTACCACCAGAGTCCTGCAGCCTAAGTGTGGCTCATGCGTTTGGAGTAACGCAATATGCTGGTGAGATGACCAGAGCAGAGTTACTGTGGTGAGCCCTGAGCTTTGAGTTTGGTCCATCTTACATTAATGATGGGTGTTTTCAGTGCTACTTCAAATTGCACTAGGAGGCTGTACTTTAATATCTACACAGACAGCCTTTTCTAATGTAAGGTAAAATATTATTTTGGAAGTGTGTGTGATATAGATTCACATATACATCTATAGTAAAGTAAATATTAACACGAATTCCTTTAGTAATAATGCCAGCACCTTCTGAAGGTTGGATAAATAATTACCAACTGATATTCTTGAGCATTATTCCAGTACCTTGAAGTGTAACATTTAAAACTTCTACTGGCATGGACCTGAGTCTGGGACAAATGGTTTCAGTGAAGCTTTTTGGGCTTCCTTAACAGCTAAAAATTCTTGAGGCATTTAACTACAAAATATCTCCCAATTAAAGTAACTCTGGTAGTTCGTTTACCAATTCCATTTAAATTATAATCTTCTCTTCTGACTCTTGAGGTAGAGAGAAATGATGCTGGCAGGCTTTACTCCCTCTTTTATTGTTCTTGCAATTATGTTAGCCTTGAGCTTTGTCTTTTGGGGTCTGGTTTTGTTATTTTTAAAACTTGGTCTCAGGAGTATGGAGGAGGAAAATCTTTGTCTGGTTTGCTCACCTTTGGGTTTGAGAGTTGTTGATTGTGTTTTGTGGGGATTTTTTTTAAGCATAATAACCACCTGTCTTGTCTAATATACTGTTGTATATACTAATGTACTGTTGAAATTTATAACGTGTTTCTCTCCTTGTTTCTGCAGAGAATCCTTGCCAAGAACAAGGTGACATCATCCAAATTAAACTTAGTGAACATACAGAAGATTTACCAAAGGCAGATGGCACGGGCAGCACCACTATGTTGGTTGACACAGTCTTTGAAATGAACTATGCTACTGGTGAATGGACCAGATTCAAGAAGTACAAACCTATAACTAATGTTTCCTAAGAGATGCAGCAGCAGCAGACTGGACCAAATCAAGTTTAGAGTCAGCCAGCGCATAGAGTATGTCATCTGTACAAAATGGCATTCAGGTGTACATTTCTTATTACCCTCCAGAGCAGAAGCTGTGCTCTTCAACCAAACTGAGCTCAGTGAACACAGATGTGTTTGATGGTGTCAAACTCACTTAATTTCTTTTTTTATTAATCTTGGGAGAGGGAAAGATGATCTTGGGGGAGGGGGGGACATTGTTGGTGTGTTTTTGTTCAGGATGCTGAAAAAGGAGATCACAGCTGAAAGGTTACAGATGGGAGCAGCTTACTGCTAAGTACCAGAAGAGAAGACTACTGCGCAGTCACTCACGGTTTACTGTTAACTGAGGGCACAGATCTTTATTATAAAAACATTTTCCTTGGCAACATGAGTTCTGTCATAAGAATGGATGTATGAAGCACTACAGGTTGGTACTTGATAATTTTGTATTTCAGCTGCAGTATAACTATTGCAGATGGTAGATGTCAGTGTCTAAAGGTACCCACTGTATGTTTAGCTTATTTATGCTTGGGTCATAGGATGAGATTGAGCAGCTTTGTTTTAGCAGTGGGAACAAAATGACCTGGACCCCCTTATGCATCTGAAGGAGATCGCTTTATTGTAGAAATCACATTATTTTAAACCTTTAATCTCAACCTGACATAACTGAAACCAACCTGAGACCTAACAGAACTTAACAGAAAGAAGGCACCCATTGGCTGGCTCAGCTGCCGTGCTGCAGTCCACGTGTCCTATCATCCAATCAGCTTCCTGCTCTTATGCTGTCCACCGTTCCTCCAGCCAATCACAATCTCACTCCCAGCTGTCACTCAACTGACTCTCACCTCGCTCCTAGCTGCCTCTCACCCCTCCAGCCTGCAGCTGTGCCTTTCCCATGGGGCCTTCTGGAGAGCATAAGCCTTAATCACTTTAATAATCATTACCCCATATCCTACATCTCCCCCCCCCATCCCCCCCGCTCTTTTTTATTAAGCAATGAAAACTTACTAGGAAAAACCTAAGCAATTCCTAAGACATTAGTAACAGTGACACAATAATAACTTACAGCTTTTCAAAAACTGTAACATAGGCTTCTCTGGTGTGAGTAGTAACACTTAACAGAAACATAATTCAGTTTTGAATGAAATTAACAAGGTGAAGCTTACATCTGCCTATATGCTTTGCTATCACCCAGGATCTCCCAAGAGCCTTCTTTTCACAATGAGGACTTGGAAAGTCTCTTCTGGATGAAGCTTTCCTGTTTACCTCAAAGGGGTCTAGATTTTGCAAAGCTAGTGGGTCTTATTTTTGATGTCACCTGGGTTTGATAGCAAACATCTGGGTTTGATAGCATACTTTTCCTTGCCAGTCGAGGCCATGGCTTGGCCAGAGCTGTGACCTAGATTGGAAAGGCTTTCCTATCATATCCTTAAAAGAAATCTTCAGTAATAACTCAAGAACAGCTGGCTTTGTCATAAATAACTTGTAAATAACTATAACTATGTACATATATATAGAGCTCCTTTGAAAGTACCATTTACCTTTTTGTCACAAACAAACCAATTCAAAACTATCAAAGGAAACATCTTTGTCTTAGCCAAGCCTGCAGCCTCCAGGCAGGTTTGCTCCTCTGAGGAAGCAAGGCAGAGGTACAAGGTCCTGGTGGCTTGCAGCAACAACGCTGGGGCTTGCTGTAAGGGTGGCATGGCAGTGCCTGTGCCAGGGGAGCCACCTGCTCACTGCTGGCAGCCCCGTGCCCCAGAACAGTGTGGTCTGCTCCCCCTGGTTGCCTCTGCTGCTGGTGGCCCTGTGCCCTGACTGCCACTTCTGGTGGATTTATGAGACAAGTGTTCTGGTGACAGCCACTGGGCTGACTGTGCTGGTGTTGCTGGGCCACGCTTCATGATGTTGCCATACTTGATGAGATGGCAGTCCCTGATGTGCCTGTGGCTGGCCATAGGCCACCTGCAGCGAGCTGAGTGCTGTCAGTGTGACCACCAGGCCCACCCTGACCCCGCCCAGCCAGCACTCCCTGGATGTGTGTCCAAAACCTGGAAGTGCGCAGCTCAAGCCCCTGCCAGACAGTTAATATTATGAGCAGTAATTCCCACATTTTGGCATGCTCTAACCATATCTGCTATATCACAAGTACATAGGTTACCAGCAGTGAGCAGTGCTTTGTTCCAGTCGTCCGCATTTGTAAATGCAAGCTGCTGCAGCAGAATAAGGCCAGAGTTATTCTGTGTTCTGGTCTCATCATCGTTGACTTGCCAGGAGAGTGTGGCATGCAGTCTGTCCAGGAACTGTGCAAACAACTTCGCTGGACCTTGTAAAATCTCAGCAAAAGACATATTAGAGTTGATACCCATCCCTGGGAGTCGCTGCAAGGCCTGCAGGGCTAGGTGAGTGATAATATCACATCACAGGGGTAGGCTGCCTGCACTGCAGAGATTGCAAAGGGACCCTCTGCAGTCAGCGGCCCAATGGCGACTGGTGCATTTCTATCCTGCAGCGCTTCCCCCTGGGTTGTACACAGCTCAGTAATCAGTTAGCCTGACTACAAACTGCATCACTGTTAGAATCATCTTCCTTGTGCTTTTCCAGTCATAGAGTGTGAGGATGTGTGCAGTACTGATAGACTCAAGGTAGATAGGGCACCATGGGAGAATATGACACTTTCTTTTACTAGCACCCTTAGTTCTTTACTTTACAGTCTAGCTCTTGTTACGCTGGGTGTTGGTTCAGTGCATGTATTGCTGAGCAGGCTGAAATGACCTCCAAGTCGCCCTCCTTCATGGTGGTTTCCCAGCTTTGCTGCCAATGCTGGACTACTGCTCTGCCATCTTGGGCCGGGAGTGAGTCTGCCACCTGCTCGTGATGTGGGAGTTGCGCACCAAAGGGGCCAGAACACAGGGAATTTTATCGGGGTAAGACAGCTCTGTGGGGCTTGGGTTAGTCTCAGGATAAGGGAATTCAGCAGGGTTTGGGTCCATCTTGGGGTCATATATGGGTTTGGGGGAATTAACTTCCAAAGCCGTGTAATGGCCAACATTTGCGTGACTTCCTTTAATGGCTGCCATGGTTGCCTCCCATGTAGCAAGGTGCCTGCAAGCCATCCCTAGTGATATCAAAAAGTCTCTGCCCTATTGCTTGCCAGGTTTCTGATTAAAGGCACCCACTAAAGGGAAAATCTGTAACTTGATTAGACACCCAGTCCAGCAGGGTGCTTAGTTTCACATCAGCCATATTAATAGATTGTTGATGTAGGAGCTGCCTGACCTGGCCCAAGCTCCTGCTTTGTTTCAAGGATATTCCACCTCCCATACTTTCTCCCACTGGTCTCCTCACCCTCCCAGTGAGGTGCACACACTTTAAATTCCAGAGTTCCTTCCCAAACGCTTCCTGCATCCTGCCTGGCCAGTTCCTTGATCTAGTGGGACCTTTATAGGTCCCTGTTTGGGCCAGCCAGCAGTGGGAACAAATGACACAGACCCCCTTATGCATCCAAAGGAGATTGTTTTATTGTAGAAATTGGCCCTTTTTTATACCTTTAATCTCAACCAAACAGAAACCTGACATAACTGAAACCAAACTGAGGCCTAACAGAACTTAACAGAATGAAGGCACCCATTGGATGGCTCAGCTGCTGTGCTGCTGTCCACGTGTCCGGTCATCCAATCAGCTTCCTGCTCTTACGCTGTCCGCCCGTTCCTCCAGCCAATCACAATCTCACTGCATGTTCCTTCAGCCAATCACAATCTCACTCCCAGCTGTCACTCAGTGTCTCTCTCCTCCCCCCTCAGCTGACTCCCACCCCTGCAGCCTGCAGCTGTGCCTTTCCCATGGGGCCTCTGGGGAGCATCAGCCTTAACCACTTTAATTACCCCATGTCCTACATCTTGTTAACTCTCTGTATTGTCAATGTACACGCCCAACTTGAGTTAATCTTTATTTGGCATTATTTGAGATAGATAAAAATTGAGTATCATAACTTTCTGAAGAGAAAACCCATCAAAAGGATAAAAGTAACTGTGGCTTGTTGCTGCCTGGAAGTGATAGTTTCTTGCTATAGCAGTCTTGGGGTAGAAGCTGATCATGGCTCTTACATAACAAGCCCTTAGCACAGCATAACTTACCTGGAGGAAGGGAAACAACTACATCTCAAAATCAACTAGAGCTTAATTTAAAAATGGCCCTAGAAATGTTGGAGACACATCTGAGTAGAAGTAGTTTTGTTGTCTCGAGGCATTATTAATGTTTGGTTGAGTAGTCAAAAGCTGCTTGATTGCCAAACCCTGACCCAAAAAGTTTTTAATGACTGTAGCTGTGGTTCTTACCAATGTAGTTTTATCAGTATAATTGCTAATGTGACCACAATTATACTGGCATATAAATGTGCCTTGTACGTGTCCCCTGCTAGTAGAAGCACATTTTTATCTTTATAACTGTGTTCATACCACTGGTGTAATCTGGCTTTAATGCTGCAAGAAAAGCTGGCATTTACTGAGAGGATTTATGTGCATTAGTCAGGATTCCTTCTTGGGACACAGCTTCACCATTTGCAGGAGTCTTGAATTCAGCGTCTGGTTTCTGCCAGTACTTGTGTGTGGAGCTGTGCTTGGTTGGGAATGCTGCTTAGGAGGAAGAAATACAAAGATGAGTAGCAGAGTGGTGATGTGTTGAGGAGGTACCTTGGGCTGACTTAAAGATTCATGTTGAAGTGGAACTTTTAGGACTAAATGGGGCTTTTTTGTTTTTGTTCCTTTTTTCTGAAAAAAAAGCAGACCAAATCCCATAGTACACTTGTATACTAATAAAACCATTTAGATGTTTGATTAGAATTTTTTTAATTGGGGAATTTTTATTGCATTTTAATCTTTGTTTCTCAATCAAACTGCCCACCAGGACAGGGCAAGTATAAATAATATTTTTTAAAAATGCCCTGTATTCTACAGTGTTTTAAGATGTGACCAAAAGTGTAGATTTCTTAACTTTATTTAAGCAAATACACAGAATGTTCTAGCTCCTGTAACAGGCAGGGGGGTGTTTGATGGTAGCTGCTGCTGTTACAGAGTGTTGTGCATGATTTAGTGTGAAAGTTACTCACATATAACTGTCACATGGGGCTGTCCTCCCCAGAATTGCCCATTTCAGAAACAACGTAGATTGCAATTTTGGTTCCAACTTGTCTTTTTAAACAGCTTGACAAGTGAGGGTGAGTAGTGAGTTTTAGTTTTTAGGAGTTTAGTAGAATGTATTATGGTTATAACTTATTTGGTTTTAGAGTGTTGCACAGTGAAGGCTAATGATAGGATATGAAAGTATTAATCTTTTAGAAGAAAGGTTTAAAGAAAAGTGACATTCCTTTTGTTGTCTGCATTCAGATTTTGAAGTTTCCTTGTGATGACCAGTTTTCTGTACATGTGTATGATACTTCTGTCTTAACTGTTCCTGCTTGCTGGATGAGCTGCAAGTATCACATACAGTTGTTAAGAATGAGCATTTAGAAAATTGGCTGGATTGAGGGGCATGTACTGTCATTGTAAACTGTGGATGCAAAACTTGTGCAGTTCAGTCGTGGTTAGGAGCTGCTGTGTGGTGGCTCTTTTGGCTTGCTTGAGATTAATGGTGGTCCCTCAGTACACTTTCTGGGGCCACAGAGGCCTGCATTTCAGAGCTGTGCTTTGGGAGGAGACAGCTGTCCCTCTGCTCTTCAAGAAGCCCTTCTAGAATGCAGTGGAGTCATTTGAGTGCAGTAGTATGTAGGAAGCTTAACCCTGCTGCTGTTTGTAATTGCTGCATAATGCAGTTGGTCTCCAGGCCTGTTTGTCTAAAGTCAGTCATAGGCAGTAAATGGAAATTTTAAGTAGAACTATAGTATATTTTTAATTCCATAAACTCATTATTATGAGACAGTTTAACACTGCAAAATTAATTTTTTTTAGTCGCTCTATGACTCTCAATACCAGAGGATTACTTCAACTTGATCTGTGAATCAATTAAGTGTTTAAATGCCTAAAGAAGGGGAAGTTTCTGCAACATTGTTAAAGTGATACAGTGAGAAGTAAAACTACATGGAGTTCTTTGGTTCAGCGAATTAAATCATCAAATCTGTGTTCTGGAAGCAGGAATAATGCCAGACAAATTAGAAAGGGAAACTTCAATATTGAAATTCCAATATATTGGAATTGTTATATACAGAACAAAGTCTGGCCTTGGAACTTGATGTTTTCTGTCTTGAATACTCAGTCACTTGAATGTGTAGCTATTCAGTGAGGCTTGGTGTGTGCTGGAAGGTTAAACAAAAGCATTTCTTTACTCTAGAATGACTTGCAGATTTATTGAGTTGACCAGAGAAGTAATTCAGAGTTTTCTTAAAGCTTTGCTTTCCTCATGCCTTTACCCAAGCATGACGTTTTAGGAAATAGCAAGCCCAAACTTAAGAACTTTGGGCTTGAGCTGCGCCTCATCAAGGGGGATGTCCCATTCTCTCTGGCCCTTGCTTGTGGAGAAGCTCCTGTCTGTGCAGGCCTAGACACGATATGAATTAGGTTCTTTGATTTGAGTATGAAATACTGCAGAAAGAATCAATGAAAGTGGCTTGTGATTTCCCTGTCCCGTCCAGACTTTTTCTTAGGGGAGAAAGAGCACATTCATCTTACCCAGGGCTCTTCAACAAATTGCCCTATGGTGAAGTGCTAGGTTTCTGAAGGCTCCATTTTCTCTCATGTGTGCTGTGAGGACCAGAAAGAGTGAAATGAGTGTAACGAAGAAAGGGAGCCCAAGAAGGATGCTGAGATCACAGATTCCATCTTTCTGTTCATTCTTTTGCTACTCTAATGCTTTGTAGTTATCTCCATACAAACCAGTCTAGGCTTAGTACAGTTAACACTCTAGTATTGGGCTGGTATTTTGTGGGTTAACCTGATTTTCAGTGCTGGCTTTGCCATTTATCTTTCAGTTCAATACCATGGCATCCTGGATACCGTGGGGAGGAGCCTTTGGTAGTTGCTTGATATCTCCATGTGGAATTGATCACTTCTCTCACTAAGTTGTGTCAAAGTGCAGACCACTTGTCTAGATAAAAGCATCTTGAGACTTTGGCATCATGCAGTTTAAGAGTGAATCACATTTTCATAGTAAGGTCTGACTGGAAAAAAAAAAGAGACTAAAAAATGTTAAGCCAGAGCCCTCTGGGAATCTGGTGCCTTTAACAAAAACTGTCATTTTGTAAAATGTCATATCTATAGCATAGCCCGTATGTTTTCTATTGGTTTTTGTTTGGTTTTTTTTGTACAGATGTAAATTCAAAATATGCTGTCTTTGGGTACGTATTTTCAGTGTAATACAGTATGTATAATAAAAAATTTAGATTTTCTAAGGAAGTGGACTGATGCTCTTAATAACCAAGTTGTTCATTGTACTGACAGTGGTACCACCAGCCTGAGACCAAACAGCCAAATTGCCTGATATTGTGTATCTTTCAGATTTGTGGCATTGTTTGTGTATTTCATTTGTGCATTTCAGAGTTAGCAGTTCAAAGCTGGCAAGTGCTGGTTTTGCTGGTTTAGGATATTTGTGAGTAGATTTACTGCGCTACCTGCTCTTGGCTCTGTGTGTGGGTTCACAGGAAGCTGGTGAGCCCTGGGTGCTGTGTCTGTGGTGTGTGGGTGTGCCTGTGCTGAGATCTGATGGTGTGAGGAACATCTGCCATGCCCAGGTTCTGGGGATGGGGTGTGGAAGTGTGGAATAGACCCTGTTCTTCAGCACTGCCTTTATCTCAACTGGGGCAGTGGTGGCTTCTCTCAATTTAGTGCTGCAGAAGGTGAGTGTGTTTTGGGATTGGTTGTTTTTAGTGTAGGGTTTGTTGTGGGTGTTTAGAGACTGTTTTCATGCTCATGTACTGTTCCTAGGGTCTGGTTCTGTGATAAGCACAAAGGTTTGTCTTACAGTGTTATGTGTGGCTGGCCTTATCCCAATTTCCCTTTGTGCAGCTGTATGAAATGGCTCTGTTCCACTTGCCTGTGCTGGGACAGTGCCAGACATAGTCAGAAGTTTTTCTTTTCTGTGTCAAGTCGACCTTATCAAATAGCCAGGAAGAGAATTTTGTTCCAGGTCAGCTGCTCTGGTAGAATGCTTGGGACAAAAGCTTTAGGAGAGGCTGACATGCACACTCCATTTGTTATTTCAGAGGGGACCTGCTCCCTGAGATTTCCTGGTGCCCTGACCTGATACACTCCACATGAACAGGGATGTGCCACTTCACCTGCCTGCTGAGCCTGGCCTGGCCAGAACCAGACCCAGCTGGTTTTAGCAATCTCTCTGCCACTGGCCACTTGGGAGAGACATAGCTGGTACAAGCTTGTAGGGGATTTAATGCTCAGGATGTTGCTCTAGTGCTAACCCTTAAAACTGATGATGGACCAAACACTGACCTCTTCCAGAGCTGGACAAACCTGTGCCAGATGCTGTCCTGTGTTCTGAGTGCCTTTAGACAGAGCTTGGACATCTGGGACCCCACTCCTCTCCCTGCCACACAGGTGTGTGTACAGGCTCCCCTGAGAGCAGGAAAGGGAGAAAGGCAAGAAACAAAACCTGACTGTTCTAAAGTAAATGAGGTGACCGTTTCCAGAACCTGCTGTGTTACGAGACACTCGCATTGTACCATCCCTGGAATTGCTCAAGGCCAGGTTGGATGGGGCTTGGAGCAACCTGGTCTAGTGGAAAGTGTCCCTGCCCATGGCAGAGGAGTTGGAATGGAATGATCTTTAAGGTCCCTTCCAACTGAAAAAATTCTGGGATTCTGCAACCTTTTCCTGAGGAATGTAGGGAGATTCCTTTATTTGGCTTTCAGAATGTGGTTCCTGTGTATTTGGTTTTATAATATACCTATTTTTCCTGGTAAAAATTTAATGTAAACAGAAAGCAACTGGTTTCTCTGAATGGTTGATTGAACCCCTCACTAGCATGTAAGCTTGGCTCTAGTGCCTGCCCCATCATTTGGTGCCACTGAAGTTTACAGTCTCTCTCCTTTGTAATTTTCAACTTTCAATTAAAATTATTTTTTTTTAATTGGTTATTTCCTGACATAGGAGAGTTGGCAAGACAAGCTGGTCTTGTGCTGTGCTAAAATTTTGTGATCATGTGCATTGATCCAGAGCTGTTGGCCAGGGAGACCAAAGCTGTGCCTGGATGGAAGGGGTTTCCTCCTTCCCTCCCCCAGATGCTGCAGGTATGAACAGCACAGGCAACACTCCCTGCACTTGTACTGCCTGAAGCACCAGCTGGGTTTGACCTGCATCCTAAAACTGACTGACACCCCAGACACACTGGTCCATTTATGACCACCTTTTTAACGGATGGGGGGACTAAATAAGAATTGAATGTTCTGTGCTGCTTGTGAGAATATAAACCTCTAGCCTCTGTATATGATTATGGCTGGCTAAACCATCAGATCCCTGCTGCAGTACAGCACCTTTCCTTTGGCCAGCTCTACTCTTTTTTTAATATTCCTTCTAAACCCAGGCACAGAAGAAACACATTTTTAAAAAAAAGGTGAGAGGTTTTTGTTTCAGAGTGACTGTAATAACTTTTACCATTTATTTTTTACTTCAATTCCTCCAGCTCCCTTTTGCCGTTATTCCACCTCCCCAACAGCCACGGCTGCCGGAGGTTCCTGCGGGCGCGGTTTGGGAAGAGCCGCTCCCAAAGGCTGATTTTGGGGGAGGCGGCTTTGGTGTCCCCTGCCCGGCGCTGTGGTGCCATCGCGTGGCCGCTCGCTCAAGGAGAGGTTCCACCGTCCAGAGCATAAAACCCTGTCTGTTCCTCGGGGAGCAGTGGTGCTGCTTTTTGATTTTTTTTTTTTTCCTTTTTTTTTTTAACCTCTGTAGGAGAATCTTGGGCCTCCCTTGAGCACAAAGCTGTTGATTCCTTGTTAGCCCAGCATCCCTAAAGCCTGGACACCTGTTTTATGGGAGTCAGTGGATATATCGTGGAATAACCTTGCACCTAAAAGAGGGGTCTGGATTCATGGTTGCCTCCCAGCACATCCCGTGGGGTGGTGAATCCCAGGGGGGTCAGGAGTGCTGCTGCTTTTTTGTCTGTGAAGGAGCAAGTGCTACCTGGTACCTGTTCTACACACAGCCAGGTTTGGGTAGGAATCACAACCTATATTGCTTGAAAAAAAGTCTTTTCCAAGAAAAAGCCCCAGTTTGCAGTTTGCCTGAATGTGTTGCTCTTTCCCAGCAACAGCAGCAGCTCACCCCACCCCCAGTTTCTAGCTCAGCAACCCTGCCAAAGGACCACAGTCCTGTGCAATAGCTGCTCACAGCACACCAAGCTTCCCCATTTTCCCTGGAGTCATGGGGACAGGACAGCTTTGCTGCACCTTACCTTCCTTGGAGCACAACAGTCATTTGCCACTCCAACAGGTGTCTGCTAAGCCTAGGACACCAACAGGGCAGTGAAGTGGGGGATAACCATGGAAAGAGTCTAACAATACATGGATAAAATGATCTGAGTCCAGAGGAGGGCCAGTAAGGTCCTCAGAAGCCTGGAGAACCTCTGCTATGAGGACAGGCTGAGAGAATTGGGGTTGTTTAGCCTGGAGAAGGGAAGGCTCCAGGGAGACTTTTCAGCACCTTCTGCTACCTCAAGGGGCAATAAAAGAGCTGGATAGGGACACAAGGACATGTGATGATAGGACAGGGAGGAACGGCTTTGAACTGGAAAGGTACAGGATTATATTAGTTATTAGGGGAAAAAAAAAAAAAAAAACTGTGAGGATGGTGAGGCACTGAAAGTGGTTGCCCAGAGAATCTGTGGCTGCACCATCCCTGGAGGTGTTCAAGCCTGGAGGTTGGATCAGTCTTGAAGCAGCCTGGTCTAGCAGAAGGTGTCCCTATCCATGGCAGGGGGGTTGAAAGGAGATGATATTTAGCAGTACCTTTCAAGCCAAACCACTCTGCTCCTCTGCTTGTAGTTAATACCTTCCTGACCTTAAGGGGTCACCTGGTGACCTGCCATTTTCAGGCTGATGGATGTGACAGCCCACTGTCAGCTCACACATTCCTCTCCTCTGCACTGTCCCCACTGCAGTGGGACCTCACCTGGGCATTTTCACCCCCACAGCACTTAGTCACATCCCACTGACAAAAGCTGGGGCAGTGGCAGGTCACAGGTGACACTGAAGAGGTGTTTGAGAGTTTTCCTGCTTGGCATTTCTTATTCAGCAGGCAGCTTTGCTTGTAAACAATCACTAGGAGATCTGACCCCCAGGTGACTGGCAGGCAGTAATGCAGAGCCCTGTGGTGCTCCTTGGGCTTCTAAAGCCTGGGAAGCTCAGAAATCCAATCTGCCCTCAGCAGATGAAACCTCTGATGGCAAATCCTTGCTCAGAGGGATGGATCAGGGCAGCCTTGGACAAGAGCTGTCCTTTCCAGGCTGGGCAAGGCCAGGGAGCTGGCACAAACTGTGGAGTGTTTGCACAGGATGCTGTGTACTTGGGAGAAGCATCATTGCTCCTGTCTCTGCCCTGTAAGTTCTGAGGGTAGAGGGCACTGTCTGGTTTGTTTGGGGACACAAGGTCTGCCGACCATGGAAGAGCAACAGAACTGACAAGATCGAGGCCCTGTGCCAACCTAGGACATTGTTTTTGATAAACCATGACACTGCTTTTTATTCTCTGTGAACCAACTAGCAAAAGCATTTAATCTCAATGGAGACAGGCCCAGGCAGGTCAGGAGTTTATGAATTTGTCTGTTTGAATTTTTCTGCCCTGAAGTGGCATTAGATTTTTCCCCATTGGAAGTGTATTTCCAGCTTGCCCAGTTGCTAAAACAGTTGAGAGGAAAGCAGCCTGTCTCATCTCTCACCTGAGCTCTGATAGCTCACCCAGAAAGGGGGCTCTGAGGGCACAGGAAGGGCTTTAATGCACAATTTCCTTTTCTCTTCCATGTGTTAGGCTGAAAGTGACAGTGGAAGTGCTGCCACATCCAGTTCTGAACTGCTTTTCCAGAGCAGTGTACATGGGTGCTGTAGGTGCTCAGCAAATGTGTGACTTGGCTCTGGGGCTGGGCAGTGTGGGAAATCTCCCCACTCACTAACCAGGGGGTGCAGCTTGTGGGATGGGGGACTGCTCTGCTGCCAGCTTCCCTGGCAGGACAAACCCCACTGGGTGATTGCTGGCAGTGTTTTAGCAGTGCCCAGAGCTGCTCCATCCCCAGATGCTGCTCCTGCAGGAATTGTCTCCCTGCAGAGCCTCAGGCCACCGAGAGAGGGTGGGCAAAGAGGTGACATGTGAGATGTGGCATTCAGCTAAAGGAAAACCTCTCAGAGCGGGGGCTTGGCAATGCTGATTGCTGAACAGTGGGGAAGGGGGGATCTTTCAAAGCAGGGCTACAAGGTAAGGAAATCAGGGGGAAATCTGTGTCCTCAGGTGGACCAGCAGGCAGTACAGACACTGGAACACATGGAAAATGGGATGGGGCCCCATTAAACTTAATGCTCTCACCTCAAAACCATCATCATCATCAGGATCTATGTGCTTGATCCTGGTAACAGCTTGATACATCAAGCTGGACACTGTGGGGGCAATGGGGAGGGAAATGCTGGTTGGGAAAGCTCTGTGCTCTCCAGAGGCTGTGTTCTGAGTTCTGGTTACAGCATGGTTGGCCCCAGTTAAAACGGGAACTCCTCTGGGGTTGTTTTTCTTGTTTCTCTTCTCTCAGGAAATCCCGTGGGTCTAAAAAATGAAATCCTCTCACTTGACGAGGTCACGGGGGGCTGGGCCGCAGCCAGGCTGGGTTCCCATGCTGCTCTGCCCGTTCCTGCCCAGCAGCTCCTCCAGAACACTCCTCACAGGATTGCTGCAGCCTGGGAGGGCAGAGCTGCTCCTCTGGGCGCTCTGCTCTGTGGAGGCCGTGTCCTCTCAGACCTGCTGCACTCTGAATATAAACCCCCCTTTGTTGGGCACGGGGTGACTTGGCTGAGCCACATGATCAGTCAGGTGACAAAATTGGGCACCAAAGCGGAGCAGAATGAGCAGCTGGGTGAGGGCAGGAGCTGCTGATCTCGCCTCTTGACAGGCTGTGTTACTCCTCAGGGAAAAATGAGTGCCTGGCTCTGTCCTCTGCTGTGCAGCTTAACCATGGTGTGCTTAACAGGTAAGGCCTCCCAGCACAGGGATTATCTTCTCTGGGTGGGCACAGAGGGGTGAAGCCATAGTGGGACTGAGGGAGCCCTGGGGTGAGGCTGTGGGCAGGGCTGGGGGAAGGAGGGAAGTGTTGAGACGCAGGCAGTGGTGGACGCAGGATGCTTGCGGTAAATACAAAAATTTGCTTTTACAGGAAGAAAAGGAAAAAAAAGAAATAGAGCTGTATTGCTCTGCATAGTAAGGATTTGCAGAGGCTTTATCTTAAAGCCCAAAGAACAGGATTGTAGGTTGGAAAAGATAAGCTCTCTATCCTTCCAACTTCCTCAAGGCTCCTGTTTGTACCAAGGCGTCACATGCAAAATAACACATCCATCAGGTTCCCCTGGAGATACTTCAGGTGATTCACAGTGCTCCTTAAAACAAAACAAAACAAAAAAAGGCTCTAGAAAGCAAAATCACTGTTCCATGACATAGATGGTGTAAGTACAGGAGAGAAAATGCTTTGTCTGATGAAGCTGAGGTTGTTTGAGTACTGGTTTTCACACCTGTGACTGACTATAACTGGTAAAATACACAAATGCTTTACTAGTGCTCAAAACTATTTTTTTCAGCCTTCTGACTTCTTTTTTTCTCTAGAAATTGTTTACATTATTAAGAAATACTAGCTACCAAAGGTTATTGATGGCTACTGAAGCTTTGCAAACAACTTTACTACTTTTGGTAACATGTTGTGGAAAACTGCTTTCCATTTTTAAAAAGTCCTCTTAAGATCACCACCATTTGCCATTAAGACCAACCAACAATGAAACATTCAACTAAAGAACCCCAAAACAACAAAATTCATCCAGCTATGGGCAGCCCAAGTTGTTGAAACCTGTGCAGTGTCTCTGGCTGGCAGGGTTGAGCTTTTGGGGTCAGGAGGAGCTGTGGGAGGTCAGACTTTGATTCCTGAGGTCCTTCTGAAAGGTTTTCCCTGGGAATTTGACAGTGCCCTTGCCTTACTGCTAGTGTTCATGTTAGGATCAGTTTAATGGATCTCAGGACTGACTCAGTTTGTTGCCAGAGGTGAGGAAAAAGCAAGCAGACTGGCTTCAACCCCTGAGGCAGGGGTTGAAGGGGTCAGATGAGGGGAATTGTGCACCTTGGTCCTGGGTGGAGGTTTGGCCACAGTAGGAGTGTCCTGGGTGGGCACTGTGGGGCTGCTCTCCCTGCCCTGGACCAATGCTGGCGCCTCTGTCCCTTGGATTTGATCCTGGAGCAAACCAGGGTGTTACAAGATGATCACTGCTAGATTTGGTGTCTCTGTTTTAGGGCCACAGCAAGGAAATGAGATATAGTTCAGTTGGTGCTGAACATTATTGGCACAGCGCTAATAATGCCAAGGTTGTGGGCTTGATCCACATATGGGCCATTCTCTTTAAGAGCTGGAGTCCACAATCCTCTGTGTGCCTTCCAACTCAGGCTGTTCTGTAAATTCTTTAAAACCTGAGCAGTGGCCCAGATGGCTGGGTGCTCATCTGCTTTACTCAGTAGTTACACCAAGATGGATTTTGGCACAAAGCAGGCAGTCAACAACAGGAGGGAGCACTCCCAGCAAACTGTCTCCATGTGATCACAACCCTATAAAGACTCTTTTATCCACTGTCCTGATCCTGGTGCAGAACTTTAACTGGAGCTGCCCTCAGCTTGGTCTGCATGTTGGTGTTTGTACCAGGGTCGTGTCCACAGTGCCTGGCCTTGCCTGGTAGGTACAGAATTAAAAGAGAAATTCAAGGCTGGGGGTGGATCAGGGCTGGGGAAGAGCCTGCAGGGATGTGGGTCTGACACCTGGCAGCTTGTGCTGTCACCCTTCCTGTCCCCCTGCCCATGTCCTTCCTCACCCACATCCCACTGTCGGGCATCAGCTGCACCCTCTGACCTCCTGCAAAACCATAAACCAATTAATTTCTCAGGAGTCCTTGTGTTGTCTGTGCTGCTGGGCATGGGTTGGCAAGGGGGTTTAGCAGGTGTGTGCTGCTGGAGAGAGCATTTACACCCCACAGCAGCAGCTCCAGTTGCCTACTGGTGCTGTATAAGGTTGGGTGTTTTCAGAAGTTGCAGTAAATATTGAGGGAATCCCTGCCCTGAGTTCCTGAACCCAGCTGGTGGCACAGAGGAGGAGCTGCCTGGTTTGGTTCTGCTTTTCTTCCTTTGCTTAGTAGCACACTGCTAAATTAGCAATAACCTGCTGCTTTCCATGTTCAGTTTCAGTTTCCTCTGTTTGAAACTGCAGGACATTACCCATGCCGTGCCAGGGGATGTCTTCCACCAGCAGAGGATGTTCCAGTCCACCCTGTATCACAACAAAACAACCTGAGCTGCAGCAACACCTCCTTTCTCTACAGATTTCAGCAATCCTCACTCTGAGGGGATTTCAGAATTAAAGCAAGTCTTGGCCCTCAGGCTCCCTTCTGGTTACTGGAAGTACCTCCAGAACAGCTTAAAAGAGCCCTGAGCCCATGTCTTTCCTTGGCTGATGTGTTTGAGGGAGATGGGATGCAGCCAGCTACTTGACAAGCATCTTAAATCAGATTGTCATGAGATCTCAGTAAACAGTTTCTAGGAGCTAACAGAACTGGCTGTTTCAGGCAATTCTCACACCCATGAGTCAGACCTCCCAGACACTGGCATTTACTTATTTGTGGCCTCATGGACCCACTAATTTATGTCCTTGGTAAGTCTCTCATGTGCCAGACATGCTCAGATGCTGCCTCAGATCCTTGCTCTGTAGTGGAGCTCAGCAGAGGGGAGTTTCTGGACATCAAACAAGGGCCCATGGTTTAACCACTTGATAAAGACCTAAATGAGAAGCCATGATTAAAGAGAGAGCAATAATTCAACCACTAATTATGGTTTTTTCTTCCCTTAGGTATTGCTTTAGGCCAGACAACCAGCACTGGGGTTCCCATTGGATCCACCCCAGCACCTCCCAGTACAACCAGCACTGGGGTTCCCAATACAACCAGCACTGGGGTTCCCATTGGATCCACCCCAGCACCTCCCAGTACAACCAGCACTGGGGTTCCCAATACAACCAGCACTGGGGTTCCCATTGGATCCACCCCAGCACCTCCCAGTACAGCCCCTGCTCCAGCCTCTGCTCCCCCAGCTGCTGCTGCAACACTCTCAGCTGGGCTGACAGCAACCACTGCAGGCCCTGCTGCATCCACAGCAGCTCCATCTGCTGATCCAAGCACAAAAACCCCTGCCCAGACTCTGCCCTCCACCACGGGGACTGTCCCCACCTCTCAGACTTCAGCACTGGCAGCCACATCCAGCAGTGTCCCAGCGTCCCCTCCAGGAGTGACCCCATCCCCTGGGCTCCCATCATCAGCTCTGCCCCCCAGCACCCCCCAGCCCTCCAACTGCAGCACAGAGAACGTGACAGCCTGTTTCCCCTGCCCCCCAGGGACAGCCCCCACACAAGGTAAGGCTGCCTGCCCTGGCTGCTGGGTTGGAGGAAAAGGGATTTCTCAGGGCTCTTGTTCTTGTCTGGGAAGCTTGGACAGGCAGCAGGAGAGGGATTTAATTAATTTCGCCCTCTTGAAATCAAAGGCTTGGTCTTTCCTGGCCTTGTGCTGTGCTTTGGTCTTCCTGAGGCTTCCCCATGGGGTGACAAAGTGGTCAGACTGTGGCACAAAGTGTACCACAAGTCCAGTTTGATTTATTGGCAGAACATCATTCTGGGCTCCAGGGCCAAATACAAGGCCAATTTCCAGCTGTCTTGAATGTTTAAAGAGAATCTCTGCTATGGAGACAGCCTTTTTCCATGGCCTTGAGAAAATACTTGATCAACCACTACCACCCCCTCCCACAAAAAAAATCTCAGAAAAAGAAAATAATCCTCCAAAACACAAGCCATGGGTTTTTTGGTTGTGGTTTTTTTTTGGGGGGTTTGTTTGTTTTTTTTTTTTTAATTTTTGCCTATTCTCTATGCTGCAGGGCACTTTTTAAAAGCAGCTCTAATGCTTCAGGGTGAATCTGCAGAGGACAGGAGCTATCTCCCACCTCCCTTTTATGCAGGATCTTCTTAGTCAGAGCCTTCTCCTCTTGCCTGTGTTGGTGGTGCAGCTGCAGTAAATGCACCCAGTTCCTCTGACTGGCTGGGATTGGTTTTGTGGAGCAGAGGGGTAGAACTTGCCTGCTGGGAATGCCATAATACCTGTGCTCAGAGAAAAACTGCTGCTGCTTTAGGCAGATCCTTGACTCTGGGGCTTCACTCATCAGTTCAGCTTCCTATAAGCTTAAATTATCAGTGATCTGAATAAGTGTATTGGGGTTTTGTTTTTTGTTTTTTTGGAATTTTGGGGTTTTTTGGGTTTTTTTGTTTGTTTGTTTTTTTTTGTTGTTGCTGGTTTGGTTGGGGTTTTTTGGTTTTGGTTTTATTTTTTTCTTTTTTATGTCTCTTTTTTGTGTGTTGGAGGGAAAACAAGGATATTTTTCCTGGCTGGCCCCTCAAAGAAGGAAAAAGCAGTCAGCTTAATTACTGGAGTTCCACACTGATAGCCTTGACTCCTTAGATCATCTTGTGGCTGTCTGCAGCTTGCTAACAGCGGGCAGCAGCATAATTACATGTACACTGCAGTTTCTACCCTCTGTGAGCGCCTTGCCAGGGCAGCTGCATCCCAGAGCTTCTGCCTCTGTGGCAGTGACCTGTCCTGGGTGACACAGGGGTTTCAGTCAAGTCCTGCCCTCCTGATGCTGACTTTCTGCCCCACTTCAGGCATCCTGAGCTGCTCGTGCTGCCCGGGGGGAGCGTGCAGCGACCCC